ATAGGCAAGAAACATAAAGAGCAAAGGAAGAGGAGAAGCACCAGAAAGAAATCATAAAGGACAGGAAGAGGATGGTGAAGGAAAGAAAGATATGAGCCAAAATGAGAGTGGACGAGGGGGGATTCCAACCACCCAATCTTTGGGCCAATTTTGAGGGAAGGAGGCTCGAGGTTCTTCCATGCCTCAGGAGAGGCCCAACGCCTTAACCATTAGGCCACTGGCCCACTGTCTCTATGCTTTTCGATTTCCTGTCCTGCACTTTGTGCATGAGTTTTCAAGGGCCACACTGGGGCTTAAGGTTTGTGTGTGTACTCCATGTTTGCTGTCAGGGGCCTTGGTTTCAACATTTGCCGTGCTCTCTTCTGCCTACTTTGGTGATGCAGTGACAGATCATGTCTCTAGGGGTTCCGTGTTGTTTTTTGGGTTCCCCGATTTTTCGAAAAAAAACTCTTAACCCATTAAACCTAGGCCATCCACTTCTTTCGGGGTCGGCGGCTGCCAGGCGCTAGCCTGGTTAAATAACTCTGGAAACATTGTTTTGATTCTTCCAGCCCACTTGTTTTTTTCCCCCACGCCCAAGTGTTCCTTCAAGCTTTGAATTGACGGGAAATTCTTTTGAGAGAGATCTGCGGCAGCACAGCCTCCTTTCCTCTCAGTTCATACTGAAATAACAACAACTGTATACAAAAGATGTTGGATGCTTCTCATGGTTTGATGTCATGTGTTCTGACCCTTCCAAACGCCTAAGCCTGCCACAGCGACACAAATTGCAACTGGGCACCTCATCGACGACCTTCTTCACATCGTGTGCAGTGAAGTCACGCAACGCAGCAAGGGCCTTGAGTTTCGTGTCCACTGAAACGAAGGGCATAGCAGAAAGAACGATAGAGAACTGGTCCACGATGTTGATTAAGCGTATTCTTTTCTCCGGAGATGCAAATGGACCAAAATTAATCTTCATCGCTAGCTCCAAGTTATTGTCCTCCAAAAGCCCTTGGATGTTAAAATTCACCATTCCAGGATTTTTGAAACTAAATAGCTGGAAATAATCTGCCTTGGCCGATGTCAGAAGACTCATTTTCATGCGCTCTGATGCATTTGTTCCATGAAGCTCCTTGGTCTTGGTGATATTCAACTCCTTTCCATAATTGATTGATGCAAGGTAAAGCTCCTCAACTTCTTCCTCCCAGTAAAGATCACCACTGTCAGCACTCTTCTTGGCCCGCTTCCTGGCTTCATTCGAAGACTGCGACACTTCTACCAATGAAGACGTTCTGGACATGGGTTCCAAAGTGCGGTCATCCTCAACAGCATGAGACCCAGTGGCAACACCAATGGGATTGCGCCAGGTTTCATGCGCCTGGAAAGTATTCTGCGCCTCAAAAGTTGTGTGGCCAAAGCGCTTGGTCAGGCGAAGGGTTCGGCTAAAGAGGAGAACGCCCCCAGATTTGATCTCTGTCCGTAGAACACTGAGATCCAAACCGCCTGGCTGCTTGTCTGGCCAACAGACTACAGTGTCTAAAGCTGCCAAAGGTGCTGGCATCAGATCAAATTCCAGACCTCCCACAAAAGCTAGCACAGGCTGCATGGCCAAAGAATAGCTGACAGTCACACATTTCTCAACAGACATCTCCCAGGTGTAGAACGAATAACCTTGCCACTTGTCCCAATGATCTTTCATCCAAGAATTGTCACACGGCACTGCCCAAGGTTCCAGCTGGATGAAGTCATCCTCATGATTCACCTGCCAGTCTGCTTTCGTGGCCTGCTGGTTGCTACCGTGCTTGTTCTTTGGTGCGAAAGCCAAACAAGAACTGGTGTCAATTTCTTTCCCATCGAACTGTGTGATAAGCTTTGTGGCATAGTTCCCCTCTTGGTCATGGACCTCAAAGCTGATGGATCCAGAAGGATCCTCATCTCCTTCCGTCTGCAACCCTGACATTTTGTTGCGTTGCAATGCACTTTTCGTGAGTTTTTTGGACCGTGAAGTTTGTGAGTGGGCCTTGATCACCAGGTTCTTGCTTGAGTGATGAATCACTGGTGGTGCACCAGCTGCAGGGAACTTGGACTCTACAGCTTGCTGGACGAGGGATTGCTTGTCTTCCAAGACCTGACGGACCACAGTCGCAGCTACTTTGGCAAAGACCTCAATGAACTCACTGAGCATATCACTCAATCTGTTCAAGGTACTCAATGGAGGAACCAGCTCAATGATCTTGAAACCAAAACATTTGATCACCTCTACAGGTGAGCCAATGGTAGCACAGTTCACAAGTTCAGTGCCCATGGAAATCATTGCTTTGATGGGTGCAATGCCAAAACCCACTACTGTTTTCAGGGGTTCTGGCCAGCTCAAATCAGTGTTTCCAAAGTTGAAATCGAAGAGCGTACAGGTCTGTCCCATCAAACGGACCCAACACTTTTGTCGGCCCCAATCCACCCTGAGACCATTGGAATCCACATCCATGCTAGGGTATCGGTTTTCATCACATCCAGCATTCCAATCCGTGAAGCCACGAATCAAAATATCCACTGCCATTTCCACGGAGTCAATGACAGTATTGGCCACAAACGAGACTTGATCTGCTGCCGATTCATAGGCATCTCCTAAAGCATCACCCACTAAGCCAGTACCATCAGTCACAGCATCTCCAACATCGTCAACTTCATCCACAACATCATCAATGACCTTGGAAGCCACTGTTGAATCCAAGGACTTCTTGGAGTCATTGACTCTTGATGCTTGAATCTTTTGCCGTTGGAGCAAAGAACTTTCTTTGCTCTTGGATATTTTGTGCTCAGAATGTCGTGCTTTGGCTCCAAAGTCTCGGTTTTCCCGCTGGCGATTGTGCTTGTCAAGAACCTTCTTCAAGACCTCGACTGCATTCTGAGTCTTCGCCTTTGATTGTATCTCGGAAGCTGCTTCGGTGCTGTTGTGCTCATCCGACATATGTTTGCTCTTCCATTCATTCAACTTGTGAATTTCAATCTGCTGAAGCTCGACAATGGTTTCCAGCTGGGCTACCTTGAGCATCAAAAACTCCAAATTGGCGCCGAGCTGCCCAAAGCCATGCTTGCTCTGATCAGTCTGATTGGTGTGATTTTCCAAATTCGGGATACTGGCTGCCTCCTTGATATCATTTGCCAAATTCTCACTGATGGCTTCTTCCAACTTCTCATATGTCTCATTGCTGGCATTCTCCGTGAGGTTGGTGAGATTGATGGGCACATCCATTGTGGCCAACTCCGACTTCACTGCGTTCACTACCAGCAAAGAAACTGAAGTTGCTGGACATGCACCTTCAGGACCACACGCTGAGGCCAAACTGGCCAGGAGGCCAAGGCTAGCAAAGAAATTATGGAAATCTGCGAATCCCATCGGAAACGAGTCGATACGAGTAATGAGGTTTGCGCCCGGGCACACGTTGAGCCGAGGCTGTTCCAGTATGCTTCTTGCAAGAAAATCAGTTAAACGCATGCCCTTGCCTAATAGCATCCGCTTAAGGCATCAACAGCGCTGACTGTGTCTGGAAAAAAAAACACTTTGCAAAAACATGCCAAGATCCAGGCAATGCTACGCTGCAGCAAGATTTCTGAGGGCAAATGCCAGGACAGGTCAAACGATGTTCGTGAAATATGTGTGCAAGGAAGAGAAACTGTAGATTGCGGTTCGTAGACCTTACACAGCCTGAAGAAAGGTCCAGAACGGCTCCAGAAAGCGACCGAGCGGGCATGAAAGGCCCAAGAGCCGAATTTTAAATACAGACGGTCCTCCAGCCAGGCAAAGATCGCAGCACAAGGGACACCAACGGACATCAAACACGATTGCAAGTTGGTCGAAACAGGGTTTAAATATGTTTAAACCTATATATATATATATAGCCTATATGTAATAAGCCTAGGAAAACCCATAGTAGCCTTGACGAAGACACCATCAAACCTGAACGGGACATGAACACAAGCACCCACATTTCAAGTGCAACAGAAACATCACTGACCAAACCCGTGACCAAGTCACAAATATATACTCAGGGCACCGCCAAAGTCTCTATAAACATATCATTCACATGCTATAAAGCTTGGCGGGATCACAATGTGATGTCAACGGTTGTTTTCTTTGCTGAAGCCCTCTTGCTGACCGACTTTGCAGCACCGATGCTTACTCGCAGTGAAAACAGCTAGCACCCACGCAACACTGACTCATTTCTTTGTGCCTTGGTATGGGAGCGGCCCCCCCACCACTGACTTGCCCTTGAAGCCATGGTGCCTCGTGGATCGTGACTCAGCGCGCAGCTGACGCGCAAGAGGGGAGAGCTGTGGGGAGGACAAGGGAATCTGTCCCAAATGCCCGTGGATGTGGGAACATGCCGTGGTCAGGTTGCCACACCACCAACGATGCAGTGGAATCCATGGGCCATGAGCCGCATGTCTTTTCCACTATGTCTGGATCAGGTTCATGGTCAAAAAGTCCTCAGGTGAAGCTGGTCCGAAGGAAAGAAGGAAAGACCGAAGCCCTCAAAGAAGGAGGATGAAGCTCAGAAGAAGGCAGCCTATGAAAGAAAGACAAAGAAGAACAAGACAAGACCTTCATTGGGTGACCCATCTGATGATCTTGATGAGCCGGACGGCAAAGAGGATGAAGATTTTGAGAATTACACGACGGTAGGAACCTCAGAAATCAAGTCAGACTGCAGGCAGAGGCCCCGCAGCTATTCGGGATTGGTGAAGATTGAGGAGCGCTATGGCGATCGATCCCCCTATGTCAAGTGGAAGAGGACCAGGCTCATCCATGCTCAATAACACTTGTATATTGCCTAGAACCCTGTGAGCTTGCGATGCTGGTGTACCTTTTCAGGAGAAAGGAAGTTCGGGATGTGGTGGAACGACACCCCATTACAGCACACACACCGACAGTGGTGGCTTGGACGTCCTGCAGAGGGTGGAGTGATGTCTATGTGTAGATATACTGTAACTTCATATGTTCATAATGATTCATATAAAACACGTTGGCTTGAGTTGGGCTCGAGACCTCCGCAGGTACCTGGTGGTTGCGTTAAAGTTTCTTCACATACCGACAAGGTACCAGGAGATCGTGCGCGATGGGTTAGCTGCATTTTTCCAATCAGATTGCGCGGACTCTTCCATAGAGTAAAACATGCTGCTACGCTGAACGCACCGAGGAGTCAAACCGAAAACATTTGTGAAAACACTGTGCCATGGCAACAATGAAGTGCCAGCTTGTTCAAACACGTGAAATAGAGTTGTGAAAAGTGCGCAAGCCGGCTTGGGCAGGTGGCTTTCGCTATCTATCGCTTGTTCATACAATGCATCCTCCAACCAAGAATGAAACAACTTCAAGGTCGCATAGAGAAGAGTCCGGTGGAATGTCAGCGCTCGATTCCAATAACCCAACAGCCTCCCACACTTTGCGAATCATCAAAAACAAAAGTACTGTATGCAGTGACAGAGTCATATCTCCACCTACTGGTGCAGGATTGGTTCCCTGGGTGTGGAGCCTTGCGAAGCTTGAAGACCACAGCCATGATTTGCCATGAGATTTGTGAAGCAGTGGGTTGTCCAACTTGAGATTGGGACTTGGGCTTAGCGTTTGGTGATGGTTAGACTGCTATACAGCTGCCGTTGCCTGGCAAGCTCTTGGAGTTCCAAGATCAGTTTCCGTTTTTTTCAGCTCAGCATGTTTTTGATCTCTGGAAGAGGGAGCGTTCTTTCATGGTTCTGTGCCCGACTGATTGCGAACTGCGAAGAGGGAATGCAATGGCAATAACAAACAATGCCGGCCTGATGTGTGGCTAGCTGGTCGAGCACAACACAAACATTCCTGGCCAACACAGTGCGAAGGCTTCATCACAAGGCAAAAGCTGTGATATCCCACTGTTTACAGTTTACACACACATGGTAAATATCCCGCTCGTGGAAGAGTCCAAGAGCCGTTGTTAAATAAGTAAACAAGCACCTGTGCTGTGTCTGTTTGGTTAAACGTTCAAACTGTTTGAGGACTTGCGTCAGGAAATTGGAGGTCTGCAGTTGATACTGTTTGAGCATCTCGTGCCAGAAGAGAAATGGTATGAGTTAAACATTCCTGGCCAAGGTTCTCTCTGGACTTGTCATGTGTCACTAGCCCTCGAAGCTTCTAGTCAACATGTCATTGTGCATTTCATTTCAGCATGGGATGTTGAATCCACAGAAGTGCATGACAAGGACCTGCATACTCTTTGGTGCAGCTGACGAAGCAACTCACAGTCTAAGAATCTACGCCGGTCTGATCTCAGAAGGCCCAAGGAGTCCTTCCTTCGCCAATGCCACCCCTGCTGCAATGAGCAGGGGGATGACATTCCTGGTTCAAGCAAAGGTGCAGCTCCGCTTGCTCTCACGTGCGCACGGCTTGATTTGAGTTCAAAAGAACAGGGAAATGGGAGTCAAGATGAATCGGGAATGTCCTCCTCCAACACCACGGCTGTAGTACATGGTGGGTGGATTCATTCCTCACACGTAGGGTGTGCAGTCAGAGACTCTCCCAGGTTTGATGGAGTGTGGGAAGCTTAGCGGTACCCCCCCCAAAACCCACCCTTTTATGTAAAGAACAATTTCTTATAGTAAATAAAGTATTTCCTAAGTCAAAAAACAATAACAAATGGCGGTTCCCAAACTGCAGACACCATGACCCCTAGGCCTGTGCAGTTTTGGTACTTTGGTCCCCCTCTAGGGGGGCACCAACGTACCAAAGTTCCAAAACTGCAGACCCCATGACCTGACCATAGCCCCTCTGGGGACATAGGTCTGTGCAGCTTGGATCTTTGGTACTTTGGCACTTTAGTTTTCCAGGTCATGGGGTCTGCAGTTTTGGTACTTTGCTACTTTGGTTTTCCAGGTCATGGGGCCTGCAGTTTTGGTACTTCGGTACTTTGGTTTTCTATGCCAATTTAAATACAAAAAAATCACAAGACTGCACAGACCCCGTGAACTGGCCTCAGCCAATATGGAGGAATACCCCAACTACACAGATCCCTTGATTTGTTCTCAGCAACTCTGAAGATACCGGTCTATGCAGTTTGCAAACTGTAAAGCTGCAGCCATCCTTTTTGCTTACCTTTTCTCGCCTTACGTGTCCCTGTGCTCATGGCTGTGCCACCTACTGAACCACACAGCCCAGTTTGAATATGAGGACGACTTCTGGGAGTGTCTTGGAGCATTCGTTCAATAAACTTTTACTATTCTCATTTGCGTCCATGTCTGAAAAATGCATTAATGATATCAAATGCAATTTTCAGGTCTGCTTGGAGGCGGACTGTAGTTACAGGCGAACGGCCGACACGAGTCAACAAACCGCACCTGTTTTCCTTGAGCCAAACATAGGGTAAGTAAGACATGTATTGCACACACTAGCGTGAAACAACACCCCCCCGATGAACGAAAATGGGAGGAGTGAAGTTATGTACAGTGCATGAATTAAAGGACCTACAAAGGTATCCGGTCCCCCGGTACGTGCAACGCATCGAACCGGATCGCGCCTTGAGATGGAGAGGATTTTGACCTCAAGGACGAATCAAACAAAGCACTGTCATGTTTTGATGCTAGTGTTGAACATGTCTGGAAATGATGCATGCAGTCAAGCTCAATGCACAGTGTTATAATGGACTCTTTTCGGCGCAGCGGAACTGGAAGTGCAATGCCAACCTTTTAGAAAGCAGGAACTAAGCCATCAAGGCACACGCTCCCGCGTGGCGACAATGCACAACAAAAGAATGTGCGCATCTGGATGCAAGGATTTGGAGCCAAGTACTTCGACTTTAAACTCAAACGAATTAGCTGCTGGTTTCAGGCAACCGGTCCCCCGGTGCGATGAGGGAACGCACAGTGCTCAACGACAGCCGTGTCACCCGTGAATTTCATTCTCTTCTTCACAGGCAACGGCTCCCGCCGTGCGATGTGTCTACCACCTGCGCTGACTCCACCAGTCGTTTCCCCGCCAATCGCTGCCGCGACCACGATCATCCTGCCCCAGTCTCGCGAGGATGACCACCAGGAGGACGACGAAGATTGCTGCCAGTCTTGTGAAGTGTCACTCCATGCAGCTCCCCGCCAACGATGCTCAGCACTCTCGGCCTGAGACCGCGTCGCTCTTGCCAAACTCTCAGCTTTGGCCTTTGGGATGACGAGCGCTCTGGTCTCCTTGACAAGATTGATGTTGAGGCCGGGAATGAACTGGGCATCTTCCGCCACGAACACAAGAAGTTCATCGAGGACATCGTCTGGGTCATCTTTCTCGCAGCGCCATTCCCCACCAAACCCAAGGATGGCAGGGCGTTTCGGTCCTTGGCAGTAATCTGCAGCGAAGGTCTCTGGCCGATGGAGGCGATTCTTCCAATAAACAAAGAAGTCCGTCGGCATCACCGCCCTTGGCAATCTCATTCATAAAGATGATCTTGCCGGAGTACCTGTGGCCGATTCCCTGAGCGATCATCTCACGCGTCCTTGGAGGATCGGGGATGACGGCGTCGGAGAGGCGCTCCAGGAACTGGATGCAAATGGGCGATAAGTCCTGAGCTGCACAGTTGAACGCATAAAAAGCATCAACAAGCTGCCGTTGCGAAACCGTCAGGCACATCTTCTTCGCCTTCTGGACATGGCTCTTGGCATTCGCCTTCAAGATGTTGATGCCAACGTCCCCGCCGGCGTCTTCCTCAATCCAGATCCTTGCAGCCTGTCATCAGGGACCATGTCCATAGTGACTTCAACTCCAAGGTCCGTTGCAATCTCCTCGATCCGGATGAGCTGAGCTGCTTTACACAGATCGGATGCATTGTTGAGGAAGGTACCGCAAGTGGTGCAGGACATCGTGCCATGAGTGTACGTCTGTGTGCAAGTTGGGCACTGGCCTTCAGGCATCTGAATCCCTTCAACGACCATCCAGCGGGTGTTGCCATAACCTTCAGTTTCCGGATGAAACTTGCGCCAATCAAACCGAGGACGGTTGTAGTTGGGCAGCATCTCTTCAGGCGACACCTTGTTCTTGTAGGCGTTGAAGTTGGGCCTGCGAACAACATAGGTGACCTCATAGACCTCCAGATCGGGGTTGTTCTTCCCTGAGATCATTTGGTCTTTCACGTCACTGAGCTGAGACAATTCGCCGTACACGAACGGTGAATAGGTGCCCACTTTGCCACACCACCTCTCATAGTCTCCAAGAACATGAGTGGTGTACTTCTCGAATGGACTCTTCACCATGTCATCATCATCGGCATCTGGTCCCCAGTGCGCGCAGCATGGAATGCCTTGGTTTGGTAATGGGCATACACATGGTTGGCAAAGGCATAACACTTGGCTTCCATGTCGTGCATAGATCACGTTTCTGTTCGCAATCCAATCTGGACACAGAATTGTTCCTGCTGTGGTTTGAATCAGTCGGTGTCCGTTCAGCGCCATCAACTGGATCATAGCGGCATAGTCAGTTCCAGAGATAGTCCAGGGGTCCTCTTTGGTGAGGAATGTGAATCGGGCACCAGTGCGATTGCCACCAAGAATGAGGCCCATATTGACAATGTCGAGAAAGGCTGCTCGATGGGTATAGTGATACAGGATGGTCGGAGCCACTTCTGTCACTTTCCCCAACGCACCACGAGGAACCCTCGGAAACTTGCCGGCAAGGTATTCAGCAGAAGTGTACTCCTCATCAAGGGTAACAAAGCGTTCATGTTCAGGTAGAGCATCTTGGACATTGTTATTTGACCACTCATTGTGGTTTTGGATCGCTTTGATTCTGAGTGGAGTATACTGGTACTTCCCGCCGACCAAAGTCCCCTTTGGTGCAATCTTCACCTCAAGCATGAACCGGTGATTGGACGTAATGACTCGAAGGGTCAGGTTCACATCGTACTTTCGTTTGATGAAGCTGTAAACCTTTCCATAGTCCATCCACAGGCCCTTTTCGAAGCTGGGCGGTTGCACCTTGTGCCAGGTCTGCCTGCTGTGTTCCCATCCACGAAGGAGACCGGAAACACGTCGAGAGATCCAGACCTGCTTCGAGTTCAACTGTGGCAAGTTGGGGGCGCCAGGAACCGATCTCGATTGCAGTGCCACTGTTTCGTTCTCTCCTAGTGGCGAAGGTACTGATGGCACCGGAGGCGCACGAGGCATTGCCTTGGCCTGGACGGCCGGCTTTGCTGTTGGTGTTGTATCCAAGGCCACAGCTCCCGCCGGGCGTTTCGGTACTTTGGGCTGAGTCGCTTCAGTTGACTTCATCTCAACATCGGCCTCAGCTCCCGCCGGGCGTGCGTCGGCTCGGGCGCACCAGACTTCGGCGTCTTCTCAACTGCTGCGTCTGGCAGCTTGGGTGCCGGTGGCTTTCCCGGTGCCTTCGCCTTTGGGATCTTCTGTTGCGGAGCCTTGTTTGCCAGGTCAGGTTCATTCCCCAAGGTGGTAACCTCACGAAACTTCCTGAGTGCTTCGCCAGTGAGCTGAGGGATGTCCTCTTCGGCCATGTAGATGCGAATGAGGTCGCTCTCATCATCCTTCTGCCTCAGCTGATAGGTCACACCGGCAACCTGGCAAGACTCAGCATGCATAGATGTGAGTATCGGCTCTTTGAACAGAATCTCCCCGTCGGAGTCTTCAGCTGGCTTGTTTTCATAGCCTTGCTTAATGGTGGATTTGAGATGATCCTTGAGAAGCTCGTTGACATACTTCTCATCCTCGATGGGGTCGTTGGAGACAATGAGTTCCTCTTCTTCCGTGATGGGTACAGGATCCACCTCGGCATCTCAACGGTGACAGAGACGAACTCCATGCCCGGAGTTGTGACTGGGGCCTGATTGTTTGCATCTCGGCCATCCGTCCCCGGAGGCGAGTCAGCACTGGGTGCAAATGTGTCATCGATCTCAATGACCTCTGGCACAACTGCATCCGGCATGGGCTGATCAGCCGCGGACGAGTCCGGCACGATCTGAACATCCTGACCTTCGGAATGGCAAAAGCTTTGCCGCAGCGATCTCCTCTTCGGTGGCGTAGATGGGTTCGCCCCACGCGTCCATGAAGCCGATCTCTTCGGTTTCAGTCACGGCGAGCTTCCACCCATTCTTTTGGTCAATGGCAGTCTGTCGCTTCTCACCAGGAATCCCGCCGTCGTGCCAATCACCCAGGAAGACTTCTTCCACACGTGCTCCAGCATGCGCTGGCGGTGGGTCTTCTCACCCGTGGGCTTTGCAAACAAGTTTGCATCTTTCCTGAGGACGTCCACTCCTGACAGGACCCAGTAGTGATAGGCAAAGAGGGCCACGTTGGCGTAGTACTTCACAAAGAAGGAGCGGTTCTCTTCCGTGTTGAGGCAGTGGAAGTTATCATACCGCGCACACGACCTCACCAGAGTGGTGCCTGTGACATTGGTCACTCCCAACCTTGTGAAGACCTCGGCAGTCTGACACATCTGCCGTGCATACTCCTCGGGCAATCCATATAGCTCTGGGAGTCGCAGAAGCACACCACGATA